AACAGAAAGGTGTGAAACATTCGATCAATCCATGATCAACCGGTTTTCTGAAATAGCACATAGAAAGTGAAGATAATTGTTGTGATGTGGATGAGAAAATGCGTCCCAAAGAAAGTGGAAAGACTGCACTGCAATTCCTACATTGTTGCGTGTAAAACTTTCCCTTAGGAAGATTGTTCCGTGTTCATTTCTGCTTTGTATTTTTTTATTATTATTTTTTAACAGTAGTTACTCTCCTCATACACTAAGGGGTAATCAGGGCCACCGTTTCCCCAACATACATGGGGGCCCCCCAATTTGCGCGAGGAGATGCATTATGATTGTATCATGACAAACGGCCATTGAGCGACCTTCACGCATCATTGTTCAAATATCCGATAGGACCCCCACCTCACCCCGGCATCCCTCACAACCCTGATGACACACACACACACACAAAAAAATCGACCAAGGAAAAAAAACTGTAACTTGGAGCTTTGGCCGGAGGGTGTGGGGGGTGGGGGTCATCATCTGAGTTTTCAGCATGGGCACCCAAAGAGTTACCAGCAGCCTTTTGTGGAATTTACAATTTAGAATAATGGTCATCAAAACTGTTGCTGTAGTTTACTTCAAAACACCCCTTCAGAGTACAAATTTGACATCGGCTTTTTAGCTCTCTTATGCGTACACAGTGACACAAAAACATCGAGTTCTGACGGCGCTGACATGTTCCGTGAAACAAATGTTACCTTTTGAAAGATGTGCTCAGGATTCTGAGAAAGAAAAGTCCCAGTCAGGGTTTACTCACTCCTCAGCCATGGGGCAGCACATCTATGTGAAGGTCGTGCTGGTCATGGAGGTATTCTGTGGACCAGGACAGCAGTGGACCAATTCTGAGGAAAACGCTTAAAAGAATAACAACTCAACTAATTGAAGAAGAACACCCCATGGACCCGAACAGCCACTCCTGTGTCAAGGCGTGACCTTATTTTACTCTGCGCTACCAATGGGGACTTAGTACACACACGCACGCACTCAAGCACACACATACGTTGAGCACCTTCCTGTTGGTTTTACTGCTAGTGCTAAATTTTCCACTGACACTATCATTCAAAGGATTGATGTAAAAAAAAAATGCATTCAAAGTTCAATGTATTTTTTTTTCCCAATTTGCTCTGTTGAGCTAGCTGCTGCAGTTTTCTCATGTGCGTTGAGGGAGTTGAACAGAAAAGACTTTAAAAATGCGCAGCACATTTTGATCATGTCTGCGCTCACATCTTCTGACAGCTTGCAGAGAAGCAAGCAAACAAGCCCGCTGATATTCTTAGCTCCCCTCACGTCTTTTGACTGTCCTTCACACACACATGCACACGTGCATGCACACACGCAGACACACAGCATCGTCCTCCTGCTCCCAGTTAACGCCTCTTGTAGGTCAATATGTGTCCGACGGGCCGCTGATTTGTAATTGTCCGTCAGGCTCATCAGACGTGTGTCAATCATACTTTGTCATGAAAGCTGTCAGTGGTCGTTACGGAAAGCAATGGAAAGATATCAAGGTTACTTTCCACGAGATGAGGACAACCACAACATCCTTCCTGTTATCAAGGGTCTTTTTTGTCGTTGTTTTTAAAATGGAAGATGAAGGCAAAAATAACTTGGGTGATGTTTGTTTCATTGGTAAATTAAAATTGTTCATGGGTAAGTCAATGTGACCTGCTGCTTGATTAGCCAAAAAAAAGATATAGGCCCTCATGGGTAAGTCAATGTGACCTGCTGCTTGATTAGCTTGATTATCGTTTTTGCCTCGGAAATACCCTTTCCCCAAACGAGATGAACCGAAAGTACTTGCAGGACAGCCTGATTCAAATTCCAAAATGCTTCGGAAAGGTGCCTGGATGCTCAAAATCGAAAATGAGCCTATGTTTCGATTTTGACCTTCATTTAAACATGTGTTTCAAATGGTCAACATTGCATTTTTGAATATTTGTATTTAAAGCTTTGAATTATATTTGAGTCAATTCCACACCGTGCAACAATGTAGTAGCAAGACCAAGAATATCTTATTTCGTATAAAGTTTTTAATTGTGTCGCTTCTCATAGTACTGAACCATTCACAACTGGAGTGCTCATCTCTCGAACAAAGCCCTGTTGCATGCACTGATGAAGACTTCTCAAATTAGGGGCATAAAACTTCAATTGCGTTGCTCTTAAAAACTGCTTGTTCCTCTTTGGTGACCAGGCACGGCTCAAAGGCTAAAGGGGGGCTTGACTCATACATTGGAGGGCTGAGAAAATAATTTATAAATATTTCAACGAAAATGGTGGAGGGGCTAAACTGGGCCTACACTGAATTCTGACGGGGCAAAAGCAACTTCTTGCCCCAGAGTAGCGCCATCCCTGACAGCAATCAAAGACACGGTTAGGACACAATCAAAACAATTGCACTTTTATTAAACATATACAAAAAACGTTTTAAACAAAACAGTGCAAAGGCATAACTGAAAATAAGGTGACAAGCCAACACTTGCATTCAGCCTTGAAAACAATTTTACTTACAGTAGCCCGAAAGACGTGCATTGAAGTGCCTATTTTTTCAACAACAAAAAAGAAAGATGGACATCAAGAGGCATTGTTTCAAAGATTTTTTTTTTTTTTTGTTAATAGACAGGAGTGCACTTTTTTTTTTGTTAATAGACAGGAGTGCACATAAGTGGTGTGCGGGTGTGCATGAGCACTGGAAATTGCAATATGGTGTTCCAGTAGTATGAGTGTTTTTATTTTGAAGGTGACCGTTGGGGTGCGTTATGTTGCACAACAGATTATGAATACGCATTGTGGCAGCTGGCTTGACTAGGGTGGCATTCGCCATGAGACGGTGGTGGCCCAACGTCGAACTACCGGGCTCACTTCGACGGCGATCTCCGTGTCGCGACACCACGGCTTTGACAATCTGTCCCAATAGATGTTGACGTGTGTGGCTATACTGTATTTTTACCTTTCGTATCTTGAAATTTCTTTCGTAACAAGAGGCAATATTTTCCTATTGAGGCGTTTCATAACTTGAAAATTTCGTATGAAGAGACGTTTGTAA